GCAGAATGTGGTATAATCGTCTCAGTGAATATCTGCTCAGAGAAGGATACAAAAATGATCCAATTAGTCCATGTGTTTTCATCCGTAGATCTAAATCAGGCTTTGCCATTATTGCAGTATATGTTGATGATTTAAACATCATTGGAACTTCTGATGAAATAGAAAATACTGCAAAATATCTCATGAAAGAATTTGAGATGAAAGATCTTGGGAGAACAAAATTCTGTCTTGGTCTTCAAATTGACCATTTGAAAGACGGAATATTCATCCACCAGTCAAATTACACGAAGAAGGTTCTGAAGCGGTTTTATATGGATAAAGCACATCCTCTCACATCCCCGATGGTTGTTCGCTCTCTTAATGTACATGATGACCCGTTCCGACCTCGTGAAGATGATGAAGAAATACTCGGTCCAGAAATACCATACTTGAGTGCTATTGGAGCTTTGATGTATCTAGCAAACAACACTCGGCCAGATATTGCATTCTCAGTGAACTTGTTAGCCAGACACAGCTCGACCCCGACTAGGAGGCATTGGAATGACATTAAACACATTTTGCGATATCTCAATGGTACCATCGACCTTGGTTTATTCTACCGCAAAGATGCCAAGGCCACTCTTGTTGGATACGTTGATGCAGGATATTTGTCTGATCCGCAAAAAGCAAAATCTCAAACAGGATATGTGTTTACTTATGGAGATACCGCAATATCATGGAGATCGATGAAACAAACTTTGACTGCCACAACATCAAATCACGCGGAGTTGATAGCTCTCTACGAAACAGGTAGAGAATGTGTGTGGTTGCGATCAATGATCCAACATATCCAGAGTGGGTGCGGTATAGAAACAATTACTAGTCATCCGACTCCTATATATGAAGACAATACTGCATGCATTGCTCAAGTGAAAGGAGGTTACATCAAAGGAGACCGAACAAAGCATATATCACCAAAGTTCTTCTCAACACATGATCTCGAGAAAGATGGAAAAGTTGACATCAAGCAAATCACGTCCAGTGAGAATCTCGCTGATTTATTTACAAAAGCGTTACCCCCGAAGAAATTTGAAGAACTCGTACACAAGATTGGCATGCGTCGCCTCCGTCAATTATGCTAAGCTGAGGGGGAGAATTTTATGAACTGTACTCTTTTTCCCTTGATCAGGTTTTTATCCCACTGGGTTTTTTCTGACAAGGTTTTTAACGAGGCAGTACATAAAATTAGAATGGGTTCCTAAACTATACCCATTTCACGAAGTACCCGTCATTAATTGAAAATGAACATTCAAGGGGGAGTGTTATGAAATTAATCATTGTTCATTTATTCAATTAATCAGGCCTATTTTCTAGAATAGTAGATTAAGACAACCATTGATGAGTATCAATTATGTACAGTACTTCCCATTTGTATTTGTATCCATACCAAAGCTCTCCACTATAAATAGAGGCCTAATCCCTGCATTGCAATATCATTAAGAATAAGAAGAAGAGTGAAGAATTAATAGAGAGAAGAAATCAGAAATATATTATATCTATTCTCATAATCTCTGAGTAGTTTTTCTCTCATTTTATAACAGTATGTTTATTTTTTTATCTTTTCATATATTTTTGCTATCATGTTTTCTTCTTATTCTAAGTAATGCATACATGTACTTTTTAAAATTCATGTAATTTATGCGTTTGTAAATTATTTGTTTTATTTTTTGGGCACATTTAATTGTTATAATATAAAAACCAAAAAAAATTAATGCTCCAAAAGGGGAAAAAATATTAATAACGAAAGAAAAAAAGAATAAACATGAAAACATAATAAAATAATATTTTATTAATTTATAAAAGATAGAATTGAATTTAAATAGAAATAGATAACCATTTTAGTAGATCTGTAGATGTGAGACATTACAAAGATGTAGGGGTGGACACGGTATGATTCCGGGACGGTTCTGGTACCGCC